TTACCTCGATCTATTAAGCACACCGAGCTTAGGTGGGGGGCAGCTCTAGGTGACGGCGGATTAAGTATCAAGGGCGCCCTAGGCAAGCATCTCATCGGCGCCCCCCGTATCTCTCTATTGCTCTTACTATATTATTAATAGCTATTACGACCAGGACTCGAGGCTCGGACTCCCATGCAGGGTAGTCCTCCAGCCTGTGGACCCGCAGTGGTGGTGATGTACCGTGACCTCCTATGCGATTCGATTAAGATGCTGCTTTTGTGGCGTTGAGACATTGTTTTATACTTTCCATTTAAAAAAATGTAATTAATTTAAGATACTGGGCCGAATAAGATGGTCGATAATAGCAAAATGAATTAAATTTCTATTTTGTTTTTTAAGCAATATTTAAATAATTATTCATCCAAAAGTTTTCATCTACGAGATCGTGCGGATACGCATTGGCAGTTTCCTAACAAATCAGAATATCGGCATATCTTTCATTCGTAAGCATAAATAGTTAGTAAGGAATAGAAAAGGAAACAGTCCGAAAATACAAGAAAAGGTTTTTAATAGGTACTACCGGGTTATACGCCAATTCTTAATACTCCAGGTCAAGCATCTAAGTTTTTTTCTATAAATTCTGTTACTATCCTAAGCTTGACCTTGTTAGATTAATTTACCTGTTTCTTAACAAATCTGCAACTTAACTGTCATAGATTATTTTTAAATATTGCTTAGGGGAAAAAAAAATACACATTTATTTCATTTAGCTATTATCAACCATCAACTTTGGCCCAGTTTGTTAAATAAACTACAATTTTGGTAATGGAAATTAAAAAACAATGTATCAGCGACACAAAAATGTAGTAGGTATAAAAAATGTAGTAGGTATAAAAATGAAAGTTCAATATTTTGAAAATAGTTATGTTTGGAATACGGTATTTCATAGTGAAATCTATTAGTAATAATGGATACCCCATAAGTTATCTAGGTCAACTTAACCAGTAACCATGTATATTACAGATTTTAGATTTCTAAGCTGGATCATATTATGAAGTCATTTCATTCGTTTTCAATTATTATTACATATTAAAAACTTGTTTCTAAATATGCAAATTGCAGAATTATCTAAAGAAGATATTAGAAATAGTTCATTAGGAAACATAAAAAAAAATTTAAATATAAACTGTACTAGGTAATGATAAAATGTTTTTAAAATGAAGTGAATATTTATGAGTATATTAATTCCTAAAACAAGTTTTTGGACTCTCAACAAGTTCTTTCTGGTTTGGATAACCACTATGTACTATTGCACACCAAAAAATAGGACATCACAATATTATTGCTATAAATAAGCAATGTTTCTATTTTGTATATTTATCTATAGAAGCCGACCTTTACTACTGCAGCCAAAGATCTTTGTCTTATTTTATTTTATTCCCTTAGGCCGATCGGCGCGACTTTTTTACGATATAGGGGGAAATATCGCTGGGAGAATAGGGGGATCACCGGTTGGAAAGTGACTACTGCCCATGAAAGGAGTACGCTCTTTTCTTGAAGTTTTGGAGGTCGTAGTGATCTGGAAATACCGCAGGTGACAATTTGTTCCACAGAGTCGAGTTGTCCTTTTTTGTTGGACGCGGGCTATTGGTTTATAAATAACCAAGGTCTGAGATAACAAACATGAAACAAACTTTCAGCTACATTGAGAATTACCTCCGTGTTTTGAAGTCGGTGAAAAATCATTCGTACTTATTATGGCAAAGAATAATGGCGAATTCTTACTTGGCAAAAATTTTAGCGTCTTTAAATATCATTTATAGGAAACTCATTCTAGGAATTATCTACGTTTTTTGAAACTGTCGTCGAATTCAGTAAGACCCTAGGAAAAGATAGAAACATATTATAAGCTTATTTGACTATTTTAATTTCCCTTACCTATCAGTTTAGTGTTAACATTTTACAGCGCTTCAATTCGGCCAGTAAAGTGCCGTTATATGGTAATCACTTATAGTTTTTTTTTTAAAGACATCTCTCGCATTAGGAATATATCCTGTGACGCGGAGCATTTTTACAAACATACATGAAACGGACACAAAGAACACCCAGACTGAGAACAACAATTTGTGAATCACACGAAGTGTCGTCCCATGTGGGGATCGAACCCTCAACACTCAGCGTTATAGTAAGCGGTATGGCGACCGCTTAAACCACTACACCATCCGTGCAGTCGTAAGTATTAAATCTGAAGTATAGTTGTAAGTACTAAATCAATAAAGAATGTAGTTTGTGGTACATTTTTAAATGCATTATTTAAGTATTTGAAAATCCTGCAGTGGAATATAAGGAAGTAAAAAAAAAAAGTGGCAACTGCAAGCTATAAAAAGGAAAGGTTTTTGACAATAAAAACTGATCACTCTTGACAGGCGTTTATTACTCTGTGTTTTGTTCTGGTGATTTTGAGATCGTTTTTCCGTTTTTCTTACGTTTCATTTGCCTAAGGAGTCTGGTATTTCTCCTATTCGACCCCTGCATGTCTAAGGACTTTTATGCTTTCCTGAGTGACTGTGATGTTTTTATGATGGATTCCAAACTTGCCTTTTTCTGAGGATCTCATTTTGAAAACTGGTTGTTTTTACCGCCAAGATGGAAGAACGTGGCAAGCCAACTCGAATATATGTGCATCAATTTCAATATAGCTGATACCACTAGATAGCAGTATTACCATTGTACTTTGTAGCTGGGTGTGTCCCCAAATCCTAAGTAGCTCCAAATCTTAACGTTCAGTAGCATATTAATTATATTGAATGGTTTTATTAAGGACTCCATTTAAGTTTCAAACCTGTTTGTAATCTCAAAAAAATTGGTATGAGTGAGACCATTCTATACTTTTAACCGTCACATATTGCTTGATCAATAGGAACCTGTAGACCTGAGCTTTCAGATTACAATACGATGATTATTTTTCACATTACCTACTGATGAAGATTATGTATGCGAAGCATGTAGAGTTCTTGACATGTTTAGAGTGAACGATATTTTACAACAGGAAGCTTCTCGCAGTGATGAACAGCAAGCAGGACCTAGCCACCAAGGCCACATTAATGTGTGGTTGTTTCATTATGAGACGTCAAAGTCATAAAACCTTAAGAGACAGTCCTTCTGAACTACAGTCGATGACTAATATTATAGAAGGCAGAATAACACCGAGACAGGTTGGGTATTTTATATTCTTAATTATAATACAAAAAATACAAAGTTATTTATTAAATGTACATACCAAACTATAATTTAAATAGTTGAGGAGGTGTATTCCTAGCTAGGCTATTAAATAACCTATGTAGGGATGGCATCCCTATTACATGTTATAAGGTTGCATTAAAATGTAAATAGATATGATAGGCAAATGCATCTAGCATTATAATTATTGGTGCGGATGAAATTAAAATATTTTTAGTTATTTTCAGATAGCAGTGTCTGATCATGTGTGCCACCCATTATGGTTGGCTTCTATGCTGTTGTGCTCATGTTATGACGCTTGTTTGCTGTTTGGGATGGGCCAGAAATTAATAATAAAATTATTGTTAGAAAGATAATGAGGAATAAAGTTGCTGTAAAATAATTAATCCTGTTTTAATTTTTAACACTAAGAATAACTTTAAAACTTCTAGGTTGGTAAATAAGAAAATTGTTTGGTGCTTCACTATAAAGACGTAATAAATGCCGGGCGCAACAGACTGTGGATGGCCATCGCCGGTTTCATTAGATTAGGTTTAGAATTTACAATTCATTACATGTTGAAATAGGCAATTAAGAAAGAGAAATATACTTATTGGATATATATATAATATGTTGGATGACATGAGAGCAAGTAACGCACAATTTGATTTATCTAAAAATAGAAATATTTAATGTTATTATCACATTACAATACTCAAATTAATTGAGATCAAATGGTTACGTACACAATATACTAACCTAAAAATAGAAAAATCGACAATTAAAGGTTTTTACTTCCAATATTTTAGTAGATCAACACTCTTACTAAACTTAATGAATTTATGAAATTTACTTCTTATCAAACAAATAATACAATCAAATAACTCACTTCACGAGCAAGCTTATAATCTACTACGTCTCATAAAACACTCTTGAATCTATCGTCCATATTGTAACGTCATGCTTTAAGGCTGCGTTCACATAGTATAAGTATTAAGCTACGTACCCAACATACAGTATACAAAGCTTACATATATATATATATATGCATAACAACGTATGTATAAGATGATTATTTCATGCATCCGATACATTAAAAGTGACATACAAATATAACCTACAAAGTTCAAACTGAATATCTGTTATTCTTGGGCTCCTCGCACTAAAATTCTAGCATGTACTAGCTCAGGGGAACACGCTGTATTAAACAATATTTTATGTAAAGATGCTTCAGTTTATATATAAAATATTTTTCACTACAAGTCGCTGCAATTTGATTCCAAACAATTTTATGTATGGAGCCCTGCCATAGTTCCTTACTCTTTTTGAAAGGTTTAATGACAAGTGTTGCGAAGTTAAAATCCGTATGAAGAATTATTTTTGCAGATCGATTTGAAATAACTAGACACAACATAGCGAGTCATGCAGATACTAAAGTAAGATTGTACTGTAGCTAAGTACTATTGTACAATATGCCAATCATTTTATATATTTAAAGACTACCTACTAGATCCATGACTTCGCTATTGTGTTATTTGATTTTCAATGAAATTAAACATAACATGGGTGAAAAAATTGTTGTTTGATCAAACAACAAAAAAAAGGCTGAGACAAGGACGACCACTTTTGAAACAGGTCAAATTTTAAGAAATTTAAAACTTATAAACATGATAGTTTTACATAAATTATTAGCCGATGTATATATAAATAGCGGGAAGAGACTAAACCAGACATCAGTCGGCCAAACACGGTGCGAAGTTATTATCTACATTCGAATCCCTTCTTAGTGTTCATTCACAATGAAATTCTTGGTAGTGTTGTTCGCTGTCCTTGCTGTGACCGTAGCCTCCAGTTACGTCCAAAAAACTGTCACTTACACTCATGAAGAACCGACCTACGTAGCCCCTGCCCGTGAATCCTCAGTTGTTTCTGCCGGCCATGTTGTTGCTGCTGCCCCTGTGGCCGCTGCTGCAGTAGCTGCATCGCCCTTCGTAGCCGCAGCTGACGCCGTCCACCACGCTGCTCACCATGGACACAACTCTGGCTTTCCTCTTTAATAACCATTGACATTTTTTATTCCATGCGCTTTAGTTAATAATTTTAATGGAATGTTTACAATAAAGGTTTTCTTTTATATAACAAGCTTTTATTCTCAATGACTCAGTTGTTTTCATATTATTTTGGTTTTGAAATTTATATTTGGTGTGTTCGTTTCCCATAGATATAACCTACAACTGTTACATATCGTCTTTATTACAAAAAATGCCGTTGGGTGTTTATACTCTGCTTTTGACGATCAAACCGTATTGCTATATTAAATATAACCTTCCTTAAGATTAGGTTTATCAAATGTAAGAATATTGTTTTAAATCGGAGACCTTCTTCAACAAAATAAACAAACTTTTCAAGTTTGTATACTAACATCAGTTGTAATTTGTCTATTTGGGATGAAGTTATTTTTTAGTTTTGCTGCAAAACTTTTGATATAAATCATATCATGGGTGGATGAGCCTTACAGCCACACTTTTAAACAATCTTTTCAAAAAGTTTTCAAATTTTTGTTACTATCCTAGATCCGTTCCTAATATTATTTACAATTCCCTAGTTGCATATCAACTATGTTATGGAACTCTAGCTTAATAGAGTCTATATCGGCCGACGAGTTGCGGGCGGTTAGCGGCAGTCGGCCCCCGCCCGAAGAAGTACGCCACTTATTATTATTACGCTAGCGCCAGACCAAAAGGTCTAAATCTAAAAAAAAGGTAGTAAGTAATCTTGGATAAAAATAATTTTGATTGATTTTAATGGCATTTATCTTTATCCATGACAAAAACACAATCACAGGTGAAATCGCTGTCACTAAACTCAATCATTTCATCATATAAATGTGATTTCAAACTAGCAATATTTTCCATGTCTAGGGCCCGCGCTGTTGCGGGCAGGCGCAAAGAGTCTTAATATCAGCTGTACCCGGAACCCTCCTATCTAAGGCGCGGAGCGCGGTTCGTCGGTTCGGAGGTGATGGCCCTAAAGAGTTTCCGAGACTCCAGCTCACCACCTACGATTTTTAAGGCGTATGTTCGGCCATACTTAACATGCTGCTCTTGTATCTTTGAAGGTACATCCCAGTTTCAGCGACTCTCTCTGGACCGCATTCAACAGAGAACGAATGGAATCGTTAATTGCCAGGATATTTAAGGTCGATTTGACCCCCTGGCATTGCGCAGAGTAGAGATGTAGTTTCACTTTGCATTCTCTATCGCTTGTATAATTTCGAGAAAAATTGTTCAGAATTGTAACGATGTCCGCTATCATTCAACGCGACAAAACTTTCATCACCATCCTTACCTTCAAACCTTGAACGAAAGACCGTATTCCTTCTTCAAAGATAATAATGGATAAATACACAAACTTAGTATATTTATGAAAAAATCTAAATCCAACAGCGTATGTTGCTAAATGCAACTAAAATTCGTTTAAAAGTTCCTCGTGCTGATAACGATTATGAAAATATCAAACACACTACAAATTTTATATTTTCGTAAATAATTGATAATTTTGTACTACAGATTATCTATATAGAATTCCAGTTTTATGCTCTTATTTTTACAAAACATTAAAATACCACATCTTAACAACGCGTTGTTATTTTAATGTCTCTCGCATTTAATAAAACAAGAAATACTATGCTTACATGTCTAATATCTAAATCTGTCCATAAAATTTACTTGCAACTTACACATATATTCACATAAAGTTATGTAAATATAAAACTGGTCTACGAAGTCGCTATTACAATAAAAAAGTCGACTAAAAGTGTCTCACCAAGCGAAGTGCAGAGTTTCGTAGTTAATTACCAGCTGATTTAAACAAGTAACAAATGTAAGTAAGTATGTTCTTTTAAGGATTTTTTTTACGCAGTTTTCTAAGTTGTAACATTTTATCATATGGTATATATTATAAGATGCATGTAACCCAGAAAACCAGATTTTGTCCCTAATTTCATCAATTTTTTTTTGCTCGAACCCCTAAATATTTTTATCTAGAAGATTAGCCTAAATCACTCCTTATATAGTCAGCTACTTCCTAGTAAAACCTTAACAGAATTGGTCCAGCCAAAGCCAAATTTCGTCGCTGAATTAGCCCATGCTTGGTAACATTCCTGCTTTCGGCAGGACGCCGTTTTGCAGGATCTGTTGAACCAAGGCTTGGATCTGCCACCAATGGGAATAATTGTAGCTGGAACAAATAGTTCCATGCCCTGAAGCACTACATCAGTGACAGAATCGGCAATGACGTTGGGATCATCCGACAAGAAACAAACCCCCTCCATGGGTAAGACGCAAAGAAAGAGCGCATCACATCCCAGTCCGCTAACCTATAGTAGCATACGCAGCGGCAGCATGAGTGTCACCGTACTCCGTATTAGGCAATAATCCGAAGAGCCAAGAACTGACTACCTTTGTGGTGCAATGGTAGCGCATGCGACTGTTGTACTGAGCTCTCGGCTTCAATCCCAGGTCACTAAAAATGTTTGTATGATCTGCAAATATTTGTTTCGGAGTTTGAGTGTTTTCTATGTATAATATGTACGTATGTATTTACAAAAAAGTATATAAGTATTCTATCAGTCCATCTAGGTTTCATAGTACAAGCTCTACTTAGTTTGAAATTAGATGCCGTTGTTTGTCAGATGTCAGAAAATATATTATTACTATTATTAATTAACAAGAATTAAAAAGCTCGGGTAAGGAACCTTCAATCAACCATTTCCTCGAAAGTAAAACTACCGCAGGAATTTGTCCGCTTCCACTATCTAAACAACAAAGGAACAGACTATCATCATCATCAGCCATCCAGTCATCAGTCCACTGCTGGACATAGGCCTCTCCCATTACACGCCACTAAGATCGATTTTGGGCTTCTCGCATCCAGCTCCTGCCAGTCATCTTGCGCAAATCATCACTCCACCTGGCCTGTGGGCGTCCTAGACTACGTTTGCCGAGACGCGGTCTCCACTCAAGAACTCGTATTCCCCAATGGTTGTCGGTTCTGCGGCTAATATGGCCAGCCCACTGCCACTTCAGCTTGCTTATCCGGTAGGCTATGTCGGTGACCTTGGTTCTCTGCCAGATCACCTCATTCCTGATGCGATCCCTTAGAGAAACGCCGAGCATAGCCCTTTCCATAGCACGATGAGCGACCAGCCGTACCGTAAGTTTCCACGTTTCGGCTCCGTATATCATGACGGGTAGAACGACTTTCGTCTTAAGGCACTAGGAACAGACTATATCGATACAAAATAACTTTATTTTGTTTAAGAGAAGTAATAATATTGTTTCGAAACCTTTTTTTACACTTTGTTTAAAATGTTCTCCAAAACCAGAGAGTACCCGAAGAACCTGTATGTTGAGAGTCTAAAAACTTGTAGAAATTAATATTCTCATACATATTCACCTCACTTTGAAAACATTTTTATTATTACTTAATACAGTTTACATTTAAATTACTGTGTTTTTGTTTTAATGTATTCACCAGATATACTTTTAAGCAGCCGCAGTCGTGCCTATAAAAGAAAAACAATTTAGTGCTTGTAAAAACTATTACCTGCGCCTTTTGAATTGGTAGGAATGTTTCTACTTCAGAAAAATATTCGTTACCACCACCACTACCACTTGTCGAAATAGCAGAGCTATGGAAAACGTAAGTGCAATCGGACACGAGCAAGTGCTTTAAAAATGATCTGCAAATTTGGATTTAGAAAGATGGAATGAAGTGTTAACAAAATAAAAACTTCGTGCCTAAAATTATATTATACGGTCTTACGAAATAAATTGAGCTATAGTCTTGTTACTGGTGTACGGTACGGACGTGGCTACGGCTGACAAGGGAATTGATTTAGTAGCGGTAGGTCTTGTGGTAAAGAACAGTGGCAACCACAGGTCTGGCAGTCATGACTGAGGCTGCTCCTGCTTCTAAGTGACAATTCGTTGAACTTAATCGAAGGTTACTGGCACGGTAACGAGCGCGAGCAAAAGTAACAACGAGCTCGTTGGAAACAAATTCCGAGAAGAGATATTATTGTAGAAAATTAATTCGTACGGTGTTTGGTCTACTGTTTTTTATTTGTAAATAAATCAGGAAATAATTTATGTATCGGCGTCTCGTTTTGTACGATAATTTCACTCCATTATAATATGACTTGTTCTAAAACTAGCCGTCCTTGTGATGTTTATTTAGTTGAAGTTTGCGTATGTAATACTTATTTCACCCACCTGATGTTTTATTTCATACAATTTTTATTACGATCTGTTTTTATGCGAATGTGTAAGAAAACAAAGTAATGAAATTACATTTTAATTAATAATTATAGTTAGAATAATTAGGATATTGCGTGCTAACGCGTTACTTTATAATAATTTTTCCTGAGTTCTCTAATGTGCTCTACATTACAGAACTCAAGTAAAATGATTATAAAGTAGTAATACAGTGAGCAGTTAGTGAAAAGGAGTTCTAGTTGTATCTACTGTGATACTTAACCGATTTTGATCATTTAAAAATATTATCTTTAACACAGCAATAACGTAACAAAACTGCAAATTCGCAGTATTGTGTGAAGCTCGAATAAACAAAAATTTGCAAGAGAAGAAACCATAGCACAGAATGGATAATAGAACCATGATTTGGAATTTCAAAAATTCTACTTAGTTAGAGGTTTGCTTTGTGATGCTTTATTTTACAAACTATGTAAAAGTAAAAAATATGTTCAATTTTTTTTTCAAGGGTGTAAGAATGTATATATGTAAATGACGATGTATGAACTGAGGATGACTGACTGAATAATCTCTGTACGAAAGGTACTTTATGACTCTTTCTGTACAATGCCATGCAATGATGTAATAAACGTTAGTAACCTGACGTTCCCATTTCGACTTTTAGTAAGATTAAAAAATCTTTTTCTGTTCGCTTCAAATAAATTTTATAACTAATGTTCTATCGACACGTTGTATGATAAGCACATTCATTTGTTTTGTGGGTGTAATTTATCTATAATATG